CACACACACACAAACATATAGATGCCACTTAGTGTTCTTGAGGTACATTAGCTGCAGTGCATAGTCTGGAATCTTGGAATAATTGAAAGATGGACGTTAAAGCTTTTTATAGCTGCATGCACAAGACTTCAAACCAGTTTTCACCCAAACGATTGCTGATCTTAAAGGCTAGTTGTTTTACCACTGTTTTCTGTCTTTATGCTCAGCTACAGTAAGTTAACTGACTGCTGGCTGTAGCATGTTCAATGGACAGACATTAAGTGATATGGGCCTTCTCATCTAACTCTAGAAAACAAAAAGGTGTATGTCCCAAAATCTCAAATTCCTCCTTTAAACAGTTTTTAAATCTGACCGTCTCTCTTTCACACGCATTTAGAGATAATTAAAAACACAGTGGTGACCTGAGACACTTAGTAGGTGCTAAGAGTATGAGCCATTATGACAACAGACTGACACTTCGTGTTCCAGAAATGATAAATATAGACATGCAGACACACCCGCTACATACCACAGACCAAAGATCACATTGGTACTCGGAGCTGTCAGCCAGCAGTGTGCATTCCTACTCACATTGAGAGACCTTGGGGGGACATTAAAAAACTGATCATGCTGCTAAAATAGCTACTCATCCACTCCTGGTCTGGATCCAATGCACACCTACACAAGCCGGCTTCAGTCGAGCAAAACACCAGGAATCACAATCCTTAGTCCAGAAAGATGTATGTTTGTGGCTGTTTTCACACACACATACACGTTTGGGCTTGCTTTGTACATGTGACCCCACACTCACCGATAGCTTTGGTGTAGTGCCGTGCCCCCAGCAGCAGCTCAGGGGCCCTGTACCAGAACGTCACCACAACGGGATCAAGGTCCGCCAGTGGCTTGAGGGGAGAGTTGAAGAGTCTGGCGAAACCCATGTCAGCTACAGGAGGTGTGGGGAGAAGACAAAGCAAACAAAGACATTATCAGAGAGTAGAGTGCAGGCTGGCCTCAGGTCCAAGGTTGCTGTCAGGGCCGCATGTGTCTCAGATAGCACCTCAGGCACGCTAATCTGCCAAAGACGCGGAACGTAGATCCGAATGGTGTCAGTTAGGTTTCAGGGCTAAATCATTTACAAACACAATAGCTAAACCTGACCTGACCTGTACAAGTTAATATTTCAATGTAACATCTCATCTGTCCTAGCTTAAATCAACAGAGCAGTGCGTCCTCTTATCCTGACATACCAAAATATCTCTCTGTTTGATAATATGACATTCTGGACCCGTATTTGTCAAACTTATGATAAACTTATAATCACACTTCAAAATACTCTAAAGGCCCAACTTAGGAGAAAAGGCTTTTGCTAAAAGTGAAGAATAATTATCCAGCTACTCACACCTATTTACATAGAAGTGTGTGTAGTAATCTGTAAAAGCATCTATCTAAACCTCTGGAGCTCTCACGCTCATCCACTCTCTTTTACCTTTCTTTCATATCAAGTTTCTGGCCAACATGAGCATGCATATCTAAATTAAAAATAACAAAGCCAGCATTCCAGGTCCACATAAAGATATATAACAATAAAATAACATCAAAGAACTTTTGTCGCTTTATGGAGTGCTGTTTAGTTTGCTCTCAACCATTAGAGAAGCAGTGCAGGTTAGCTCCCAGATTACACTATGTTTTGCATCCTTCGTCATACATATTCATACTTTTTTCAGCTTTTATCTACTAATTTATACTTTAAGTCAGAAACTCCATTCAAACCTTATAATGTTCCACGTCTTACTCCTACACTATGATTTGACATTATAACTAACTTTAAAATTCCAGTTATTCCAGTTGCACTGAAACAATAACTTAGTACTATTACTGTGTGCACAGGGTTTAAAAATAGACTCCAGCATTGCAGCATTACCCTTCAACAGCCCCTCTGGCCAGATGGCTTATGCAACAGCACTGCTCTGAGCTCCCTGTCGACCTCTCAGAGAGAAGGTTAAACACAGCAGCTACTGGACACTCAAACATGTCAACAACCTCATTGATCCATTACCATGATGATAGCAGAATCTATAATTTGTATAATTTGCAAAGCTAAAACTGTCAAGCAGTTGACAGAATTATAAATCCGCCTTACCGATTTTAACTCTTCCTCGTTCAGGACCTTCCCCCATCACCAGGATGTTCGCTGGTTTCTGGAGGAAACAGATAAATATTAGATACTGAGTATAATACAAACCATTTAGTGCTCACTTTAATTTAAAAGTGTTATTCTTCTAGTGTAATAGTCACATTGGACAATACTTTTACCCAATTTATCTAATTTTATCAGAGATTCTCTTTTCTAAAGTAATGTACATCAAATGTTTTTTTTGTTTTTTGCCTTTATTTGACAGGACAGCTCAAGATGGACAGAAAAGGGATAGATGGGATGACAGTCAAAGGGTAACAGGTCGGACCTAAACCCATGACCACTCAGGACTCAGCTTTGGTAGATGGGGTGCCAGCTCTACTAGTTGAGCTACCAGGGTGCCCCATGAACATGAACATGTTCATGTTCATGGCCTGTATTGGCTGCCCTGTTTGCTATTGAACTACAGGACCACATGAGCATGTCAGTCTACCATTTTGAACTCTCGTGGAATCCTGTGAATGGGGTTAAACCCGCTCAAGCACCTGGCCTTGTACGTCTGGTTTTGGGTGGGGAACTTAATAAGCTTGTTAAAAAAGCTGACTACTGACCAAAATGAACTGGAGACAGTAGCGTTTCATAAATGCTATGATGAAATATGTTCTGTTAAAGCGGCAGCATTTTTTGGGGAAACTTGGGTGCAATGGAACAGGCTGCAAACACAACACTGCTATATCATCACCTTATGCAGCTGTTATAGAGAATGTGGTAGCAAATAATTCCTTATTTACACGTGAAGCATAGACCAAAATCAGTATTTAAAAACTTGTTTATGGTCTGATAAAAACTCCTTTTAGCTAGTCGTCAGTTTTGTCTGTTGTTCAGTGCTGGGCATGAGTTTATACAGTGGGTTACCTTTCCCTGAAAACAGCTGCCTGCTGGTACTGGAAACAAGGCTGATGAGAGTAGTGAGAATTAACAGCATAAGCATATGGTCAATGTGATCCAATTTTATTTTGAGAACTTTAAAACGTGGTTTATTCATTTTTTAACATAACATGAAGGCACGTAAACACAACACTGACATATCAGCACCTTTTAAAGTAGTAAAGAGGCTACAAAGTGGATGATAATTTTCTGCGGGTTCACCACTAGACCTGCAACAATAAGACAACTAACTGATTAGTTGTCAATTATTACATTAATTGCCAACTCTTTTGATAATCCATTAATCACTTTGAGTCATTTTTTAAAGAAAAAACTGATTTTCTGATTTCAGCTTCTCAAACGTAAATATTTTCTGATTTCTTTAGTCATCTATGATAGTAAACTGAATATCTTTAGGTTGTGGACAAAACAAGACATTTTAGGACGTCACCTTGGGCTTTGGGAAACACTGATCAACATTTTTCACCATTTTATGGATCACACAGTTAACTGATTAATCCAGAAAATGATCAGCATGTGACTCAAAAAACAATCATTACTTGCATTACTTGCAACACCTTTCACATTACATGTTTCATTTGAAGCACTGTCACAATAAAACATATTGATTCATTCCAGCAAATAATTTTGTTATCTGTGTTTTTTACTTGGAAAGCTATAAGCAGCATGAAGAAGTCTGGTTGAGCCTTTCACCATGGAGGTCACAGAGAGGGCAACACACGCATTAGCACTGATGAGGTTTTAACTCACTGCTATTCGCACCAATCAGGTGTTATATATATTACATATAATTATGGGTTATAAGTACTGTCTTGATATTCAGTAATGACCCAAACACTATTAAACAAACAGGCATTTGGCGGCACATTCAATCAGAGGGAGAATGTCCCAGGGGCCCATATTGTTTAAGTTTACATGCACTGGGACGTGGCTGTCTGTGCCAATGCGAACCCTCTGGCTCGGCAGACTCAGATCTGACTGGCAAACAGGTCTTGTTGCTATAGGAACAGCACTAATAATGAGGTCTGTTATTCACGCCCACAACACAACACGCCGTGATCAGCAAACACAAAGACAAACGTCTCTTAAAAGGCCAGGGGAGTTCAGGCTCACCAGCTCCTCTTTCAAATTCTAAACAGGCCTAACTGAATTAATATGCCCAGCCTGAACGCATTCATTTCGGTTGTTTGACAATTAGTTATTACCTCTTGAATGTTCTGTAAAAGACCTGAGTGAGTGTCAGTGCCTCTTCAAAATACAAAATGAGCTTGCAACAGCTGAGGAAGTTAGTGTCTCCAATGAAAAACCAAAACATACATGGAACTGGACAAGAGAGACCAAGTGAAGCTACAAATACAAATACTGCTGTTGTTTACAGCGTGTGTTTGAGGTATGAATTGATGTTATTCTGAAATATGCACCAGACTGTGTTTCACACCACAAAATTGAGACTTCCTCTTGCATTCATTCAGTGAAATCAATCAGTTACAGTTGGTTAATTTCATAAATGGATCAGGAGTCGAGGGAAAATATACAGTCTCCATCCCAGTGAGGACCATTAAACTCATTCCTTAGGGATATGGCCCCCTTCTACAAAAACCATCTATATCTTTGTCTCAAAAACTAGGCCAGTTCAGGAGCCAGAGGCGCACTTATACAACAGAATGGGAATGTTGATAAACAGGCTGTACTAAAAGCAAAAGGTCACAGCCAACAGGACCATTAACAACCAGTTCAAGTGTCATAATGAACCCCTACCTACTGTATGCACTATTATGGCACTGGTGCACTTTGTCTGAAAAAGTACATTTGGAATTTGTACAGTCAAAATTACTGTAAATGTTTTTAATGTGCCTTAAATAAATACTGCGTGACTTTCTGAAAGATCACGCTGACATGGTGTTGTGGCAGAGCATCTGCCGGCTTTTTTCTAGGGCATTGCTTTTACTTACATCTAGTGCAAACATAAATACAAAGAAAAAATGACTGTGAAACCATTTCAAGGTTCAGTTTGTATCAGCTGTGTCTTTATGTACTGTTTTTAAACCTTCACACTACTGCCTCTGTTGGTTTAGTCGCTATTGAACCACAACCAAAGTTGTTACTGTAATTTCTTTTTCTTCAGCTCTACTTGTAGTTTCACTCTGTTACTCTGTTGCTTATTTCTCACCTAAAATCTTTTTAGAAACATATTTTAGTGTACTGTTTATCTGGAATATATAGAATGTGTATGACCAGGTGAGCTGCCATTGTTTCCTGCTTTCCTGCATGAGTGCAGCCCAACTCGCAGTACGTCACTGCTGCTGGTAGTGAAATAAACAAGATAAGATAACGAGGACTGGAGGCTTCAAAACAGCAGTCCACAAAGAATGGGTGACGTCATGATAAGTTCACACTTAGAACAAACCACAACTAAATGGCAACACAATATCATTGTTTTCCTTAGTTTGGAGTATGGACTGAGTGAACTAAACTGCAGGTGCAACAGTAAACAGACAACTTCAGTTTCTCACAATAACACCATCAGCTAAATATTCCATAACCATAAACACTGGCATTAATAAACGGTGATATGACATGAATCCTTTATTGACCTTTGTTACATATAGTTATTACTGTCAAGAGTAGGGAGACACGATTCTCCCATAATAATAAACCAAGAAATTTATTAACTGTCCTTTCATTTTTTTGTTTACTGATGCATCATTAAAAAGCGATGCTGTAGCTAAAGTCCCTGCATGTATAAAGGTCAACAGAAGCAATAATTCACATTATCTGCCACTCCTAAATCTTTATGAGTCAGTCTTCATAACAGCAGCATCAGCATCTGTCCAGTGTTGCTGCAGTCTGATTGTGTGGGACAGCTAGGGATACAGCACTGTACATATACATTATAGTACTGCTTATAGTAAATGCTTAGTCTGCATTTACTACAATAACAGATCACCTTCAGTAATGTCCCCCCTCCCTGTCAGAGATCGTTGGTACAGTCTGCTGAGATGCCTTTTGCTTTGGCCTGCAGAGCTGCTAAGTCAGCATCTTGACTCAGCTAGCCATGCAGCACAGTGGGCTCGGCACTGGCTAGAGGCTGTTACATAACCCTTGCGGGGGCGTAGGGGGGTGGAAGGGTTGGTGGGACAGCGAGAGAAGAATGGAGAAGTGGCAGGACATGTGGGGGATGGGAGCTATGCACTAGTGCAATGCAAAGCACATGTCTATAATACCTATGGTGCAGAGACACGCAGAGCATGCACCAGCGCAAACACACAGTTATGTAACAGCAGAAGTACTGGAGCCATGAAGGATGTGATGGTAGACAAGACAACAGCACACTGCATGTCTGTCTTGCTCTTGCTCTAGCATGTATAAGCAACATGTCCAGCTTTCATTTAAACTTTGAAAGCAGCAAGAGGCCTTTGGGACATTTTCCATGAACCGCATTTTGATTTGTTATAATTCACAGCCACAGACAGAACTGACAAAGTGCCAGGCACCTGCACAAAGATGATAAATCTGGCCAACAAGAACCAAAAACAGCCAGTTGTAGAAGGAAATTTAAAGAGCTCTTTGGCCACAATGGCAGGAAGCCCTGGTAACGAGACAGCAAAATAACAGCACAAATTGCAATACATCATTGCACACACGCTTACAGTTTGACAATGGAGAATTCCCTCCAGCTCCAATGAAAATAGTTATAAAGGGCCGGAAGTGTTGGTGCTCAGATAAGACTGGTATGACCTTCAGGGAGCAAAACAACCACGCAGCTCCTGTGGGAGAAACTATGCTGTAAAGGAGAAGCTTACCCTCTTATTACTGTGTTACTTCTTTATCATAAAATGTGTGCAACATTTTATCCGAATGCCTTTTGCTTTTTCTTTCAGTGTCATGCAAATATTAGGGCTGTACTAAATAGTTCAAGTTGACATTCGAATTCTAAATCAACGCCTGAATGCTACGCAGGTCTGTACTGTAAAAATGTAGCCACCAGGTTACTACAGTGTCTCTGTCTGTCTGCTCTGCTCTCTGTCTGCATATAGAGCTGCAGTTTAATACTTGACATTTTTGACGGTTGATCATTTAAATCATATTTTAAGAAGAGATGATCCTCTAGTAAACTGAATATCTTTGGAGTCTGTTGGTTAGATAAAACAAGCTAATGAACTAACTTAACTTGAGCTCTGGATAAAGATAATGTGATGACTATTGCATGTAAAACTGGTCACTCATTTTGGCCTGAAGCCTAAAGGTGAAAATTTGTGATAATTGTTAACTTGGATATTAAGGTTTCTCCGATTGATAGGCCAGGGATCATTATACTGATATTTGTTAAATAATTTGATCTCTGGTCTCTATAAAGGCCAATCACAATTTCTCTACTTTGGCTTCACCTGTGTTGCAGTTCTTTATTTATTGAAAGATATTTGTTATGCTCCAATACTCTTCCAATAACCAATGGAGGCTGTTATAGTTTAAAGCTGCAGTAGGTAACCTTTATAAAAATAACTTTTTTGCATATTTGCTGAAACTTTCACTATATGCTGCTCCTAATGGCATTTGCAAGA